TTCCTTTTCGACTTGGGGACTGAGTTAACTGAAAACCAATGTCAGAGTGTGTGTCGCGTTTGTTAGGCGGTTGGTGAAGACCACTTCCAACAAAGCTTGAAGAGTGCCTAGAGTGCCTGAAGAGCCGAATTCTCGTCGTTTCATGGGGAAACAACACACCGCCGTCTTCACTCGTTCTTCGAAAAAAGACACGCCGAACTCGTCATCGACCTCCGGTCGGCGGGGTGGGACACCATGAAATGGTGGGTCTTTCCGTCCTTTTGGGGGGGGATTCGGACCAGTACGACGTGTGAAGACCAGACGACTTCGAGGGGTCGTTCGAACGAGAACGAGAACGTGGCCGGGGCGTTGTGTGGTTTTTTCCCGTTTCTTGGAGCCTGCCACCTTTGCAAGAAAGAACATCTGACAGTCCGGACTTCAAAGTCTCAGAGCTACCAGATGTGTTGCTTGCTGCCAAAAAGTCTCCTCCCTCTTCTCTCCCCCAAAATCATCCCGCAGATTCTCTTGAGCTATCACAGGCAACAGTTGGACTACTGCTATGAGGGGTAGCAGGGTGCCCAAAGCTAGATTAAACATGCAGTGAATCTCTGGTAATCTCTTGTATGCCAATTCAGTGCCCCAATGAGCCAGTATAAATTACGTCAACATCAAGCCATTAAGTGCTCAGAGATCAGGCTCACACAGTGCAACATCACACCGAACAAACAGCATCAGTGCTGGAGGCAGTGGCACAGTGGCACGCAGACTGTTTGAAGGTTCGTGGGCGTCTGTGAGAAAATTGAACTGTAGGTTGCAAAAAAACAGGTTTCCAAGCTGAAAACCTGCGCCAGCAAACCACCCCCCCCATCCCAAGCGTGCTTGGCTGAACTCAACAAGCCAAGTAGCCTTCAGTTGCATATCCTTGGATTAATGCATTTCAAACAAATCAACGAACTTCAGCATGCTCATATCTGCTCCCACAAACCGCCCCAGCTAGGGCGAACGAAAGTAAAGCCAAGGCATACGTGTAGGAGTCCAAGTGCTGGTGCTCTCTATGGACATGTTGACTGTGGCCGAAATATGAAAAGTATTGAAAAGCCATTGTGGTAGGGCGTCTTCTTCGTCAACTTTACATCCAGACCAATCCTCTGGACATTCCAAATGCATCACCTATCCGACATGTCACAGTGGCGCCACATCGATGGACCGTCGAACAAGGATGACACCAATGGCTCCACATCTCGCCCTTGTTCCACTGTGGCCCCGGAGTTTCTCGGTTCTCCAAAGTCTCATGCTGTGCAATACACAGCTTGTCCACGAAGGCCAAGATCGGCGTGCGGAAGGCGCGCCGCATGTCCTGCCTCGGAGCCGCGGTTCGCGCAGGTTCAGAACACTGACTCAAAGGCCAAGGCAATGTCCAACTCACCCCATGATTCAAGAGAGAAGTCCCTCTTGCTTTCGATGAGCTGCCTGAAGAGAATTTGCTAGCTGCTAGACATTGCAAGGCAAATCTGCATGGGAACCATAAGGGTGCTGATGGGTCTAACAAAAATGCCAGCGCCCAGGACCAGCAGGTGACAGGAGGGTATGAGCATGTATGAGTTGCTTGGTTGCTGGGGATTTCTGGATCAGTCACCTGATGGATTTACCATGATTTACCAGCATGTTCCATGGTCTTCCTCGATTCCTCCAGTAGCCCCAGGCCAAAATGTCACCTACAGTCATGCAGGCTGTGATCGAAAACTGCAGGCAGTGATCCATTCCAAGGCACCAAAACAGGAGCACCAAGACATAGGTCAAGAATCCCGGCAAAGGCAGCCAGTATAAATGCTCCGCACCCAGATATCCAAAGCATGCAAACACGGATAACACCACGGAGACCTCGGCCACAGGTGTCCGTGTCGGTGTCGGTGTCCCAAGGTGGAGAGCAACGTCCTGGAACGGGTGTGTCTTAGAATAGGGAGACCCCCATTGGACCCCACGGACAAGGGACTCTACAACTCTACAACCCCTGAGGTCGGGGATGGCACCGCTCATGGCACGGTCACCGACAATGTCACCGTTTCCGATGAGCGGTCCGTGCGACGATCGCGGCTCGTCTTTCGAAAGCCGTCCGTCGATTGGCCCCACCGAAGTGCATGGCCTGGTGGCGCTACTTCGGCCCAGCCCAAGAGGGGAAGACTCGAAAACAGCCGCTTCTAGGGCACCTGAGGCCTGCTCATCACAGTTGCACAAGGCCTTTCAGTTGACCAGCAAAGTCTTTCGAAATGTCAAAGACCAAACCATTGCCGACCTTTTCCCATTGCAGAACCATACCCACCACGGACTGCCTCGAAGGAAATGAACCACAAACAAACGTTCGACTGGACTTTTCAGAGCCTTCAAAAGGCACATTGAGGGGACAGCTTGAACATCTGTCGAATAGTGTTTCTATAAGTATTTGGAAACCATTTAACCACAAACTGCATGGACCGCAGTGACAAACCCAAGGGCACATGAAAAATCTGATGTTTGTCTTGGGCACACTCTAGGAAATACGTGTACTTACCCAACACTGCTGCCATCCTCTCAAAAATTCAAACATGTAAAGGACTCCTTGTCCTAAATGGAAGCGGAGTTCACCACATCCGTACTGGCATATATCCATACATTGGAGTGCTTGAAGTCGGGATCAATGGGGCGGCATAATTATATACCATGGGTATTCCGAGTTGGATACATTACGAGTTGGGTAATGATAATAAATAGAAACAACATGTCATCATAATTCATCATTACTCGTTTCTTCATTTCATGATAAAATGGAATGTCTGGGTATCATTCCATCCAACCACCTGCCATCCTCCGCACGATCCGCCCACCTGTTAGTACCCAACTCCCGTCCACCTGCCACGGGGGAAGACCCTGCAGTCGGAGGGCTAAGAGCGTGAAGCAGGCGGCCGGGCCAGCGTTGAAGATCACCAGAAGTGTCATCCACTTCAGATAACGAGAGGTGTTCCAATCATGACCTAGGCAAAAAGGACATGAAAAGTCCGCAGACGTAAGCCAGATGACATGAATCAGGTAGAAGTTTGCCTACCGAAGCACCTGCAGTATTGCTGGATGAGCCAAAGTCTCTTCTGCACAGAATCCAGTTGAAGGGAACATCCTGTACCCAACCAGCATAGCCAGGTATATCCCAAAGACATTCCAAGTGATTCCCAGCATACCCTATCTTACCCTGGTGGCAAATCCTCCAAACCTTGGTGCCACATTCTTTGATCAACCTTGCCAGTATGGCTCAAACATGCTCGAGCTATTCTTCAGCAATGAATGTCATAGTGAAAACCACGTGCCTGATTTCTTCTGCAAAAAATACAGACATCGACATAGCCATAGGACAGTGCAAAGTCTTGAAGCTTTTGACAGAATCCCCGTCGACAGGCCAGAATCCCAACAGTTACACTTACGGATCCAGCTGACGCGACCGACGCAAAAAACGAACGGAGATCCGAACACTCGACACTCGAAAATTGCAGCCCAAGTAACTGAGTTGCCTCCCAGCCTTCGAATTTGCAAGTGTTCATAGGAAATCCTGTATACAGACCAAAGAAGGAAATTGACGTCAGGTCTATAGGACCTACATGAACTTTTTCGGGCCAACTCGATGACCTGACTTCGGGTTCAGCACACGCATATGCTAATTAGACCACGAAGCGTGCGAAACAAGCGTGCGAGCGAAGCGTGCGAAGCCGGGAGGTTTGGACCAAGATGCTTAGGAAGTGATCGATCACTGGAGTCTTCCGACCTCGTTCTACACCACTCTCGACGACATGGCACCGATCGAAGATGAAGCGGTTTTCAACGACCCGAATGGCACCATCCTGGACCCTCCAACGACAAGAATGTTCTTAGTTGATTTTGTTTTTGACGACATTTTGCCAGCAAAAGCTGTAAACGCTACAATCGCTAAGAACGACATAGTTTCCTGGATTCTCGTAATCTACTTCAGTTTTGGTGTCCTGACTGCCAAAGGTTAAGATGGGACGCTCGACAAGAATTACCCGCAAAACGCCCGCAAATATACCATTTCCTTGTCGTTCCAGTTGTTTTCTCTCTGTTTGCTTGTGCCGGTAATGTGTTTACGAAACGCTCGAATCGACAAGAATTGCATGATTTTTTGTCAAACGATTGATTTCAACAACGACGAGAAATCTCTTTGCATTGGAGGTTCAAGGATGAAAACCAAGGGTGCTTCTTCCAAAAATCAATCATGACGTGACGAAAAATGATCGATGTCGAAAGCAAAACACGCTCCAAAAGGATTGGGTACGGCAGTTTTGTTTGCCGTCCAAGGCACTTAGGTTGTAATCGTCTCTGGTGCAAGAACGCTTCCAAATGCGTCCAAACCTATGGGGAACAGTGCAAGGAAGGGGAAACAACGGAAACACAAGCATAACTCATAACCTTGAAGAAAGGAAAAGCATGTTACATACCACCATACAAAGCACTAATGAAAAGCAATCTGCACTGAAGATACATGAAATGTGATTTACATAACAAACAATTGTGTATATGTGTATGTATCTTGGATTTGCTTAAGGAGCCTGGAAAAACGTTAAACACAATCACCCCTTAAAATGAATGCACCAAAGAGGGACACACAACAAAAACCGACCCGCAGCAAAACAAAAGGCACATATAGAAAGGAAAACCTCCTGTTGCCTGATTTCCAGGGACGTTGCTTGAGGGATAAGTGAGACCCAATCATGTGAAGGGGATGCGATTTTCTGGCATAAAAGCGAGGTCAGAACATTACAATGCCATATTAATATATATATATATCTCTTATATGTCATATTAAGTACAAAGTCTTGGAACCTATTACAGCTGCACCAGAGAATATCGTCAGATTTGTGTCATTGCCTGACAGGACTTTCAGCCAGTTGCAAAACATGAATGCCATTGAATGCCTATCCCTCTTGCAAGAGACCTGTATTTGGAGATGGTTGCTCCAAAAACCATGTCGGACTTTGGAGTGATACCACCTAATTATCCTTCAAGGCCTTTAAACCCCCTCCTTCGAAAGACGTTTCCCTGCGGAGGTTCGACCAAGAGACCCGCGGAGGCAGAAGTGCAATGGCACTCCCCGCACCAAGTCTGCATCCTGAGCTAAGGCTGAGTCAATGCGCTTTTTGCAAAACCACAGAACAATTTGGATACTTTTTGGAACAGGAGTTGTTTCGACTCGACTCGAAGCTGTGTGCGTTATTTTGTCAATTTTGGAGGTGTCTATCTGGAAGATGTGTGACTGTTGGTGAGCGACTGTGGGTTTTGAGGTGGACCCAGTGAATCACACGAACTCTTGAGTATGCGATGTAACCTCTTCATGAGTCCTTTGCATGATTCACTAGGTGTTCTCAAAGTAAAAATATGTTTTTCTAACGAGTACATCATTATTTTGGGTTGCACAGGGTGGCCATGCAGTGGGGCTGTGCGGCCACTCCCCCTCAAAACATGATATATTTGAGGGACTATTTGATGGAAGCACCTCATACACAATATTGACCAGCTTCTTCAAAGTGACCTTTCTAGAGTCCTAAATGACCGTCAAACCAGGCCAACGTGCCCTCAAACCAGGGGATCAAAAGGTCACTTTGAAGAAGCAGGTATGCTTTGTACAAACTTAAGTGCAATGAAAGCATCTAGAGATACTGGTAGGTTTGAAAGACCTCCAGACTGGAGCAATATCATGCAACATCTCCAACTTAGCGATCGTCCGACTTCCAATATGTTCGATCGAAAAGCAAACAAACATCATATGCTCAATCGAAAGCAAACAAACATCAAAAAACTAACATTGATAACAAATACATAAGCATCACGGTACGTAGCTATAGTATGTATTGTAATATGGTGACATATGACATATGGTGAACAAATACAGAAACAGCAGTTCAAAGTTATTCAAAGACGTTAAGAGGGGATCTATATTGACTGTAGGGAGGGGTCCTCCCAAGGGGTCTCCCTCCGGCCAAAAGGCCCTCCGTGGTGATCGGGACATCGGTGATGAGAGAAGCACCGGTAGATTGCTTCTCTGCGAGAAGCAATGAGCACATCAATCAACTATGAAATCAAAATTTTGTTTTTTGAGTGGTTTATTTCATCTTCTTGCTTAATTTCATGTGCTTTTCATTCAAGACACACAGGTATATAACTCTCTTTTTCCGCCTCAGTCGTCTGCCTAGGCTCCAATGGTGTTTCCAAGCTTTGTGTGCTCCTCTTGGAAAATGCATGGCCCACATTCTCCTGCGCGGCGTCCCTCCGCCCCGGCGACTCCCTCCATGAACGCCGACCAGGTCATCGGGGTGGCCCCCCCCCTTCAGGTCCGTCGGGTGGTCGTTTTCTCGCTCGGTGTTTCTTTGCTTCTTTGTGTTGTTTGTTTGTTGAAGAAGATGGAGAAGATAGGACCAGACCATCGCCTAATCTTTGGGGCTGATGCCTTCCTGACCCTGCAGCAGGGTTGGTGATGATTGGTGGTCCATGTCTTCTTGATCGTTCTTTATCCAACAGTTTCAACTAAGGAGTCCATGTAATGTTCAAACGCCATGAGGGCGGTGAATCGATTCTCTTGTGGCAAGGGGCGGGTGTGATTGACGTGTCAGCCGTTCAAACGTCGCAGATCACTCCGTAATCCAGCTGAACAGCATTGGACAGCTATCGGTATACTGGTAGAGCTCAATACTAACAGCAAATATCAGCAAATTCTCCAAAACTCGAAAACCCGATGGTCTCGAAGACATGAATCATCCTGAAGAAAAAGAATGAACAAGATCCTCAGTTGACTCAAAGAACTCAATCATAGTATCTGATTACTGTCGATCTTTCTTTCAACTCCTCCAATCCACCTGCTCCATGTCCCTCCCTTTGTTCAATCCCCGGTCATTTCGTCCAAGGAGTCCTTGGACCCAGACCGCGTCGAGGGCTCCGCGCCCACACTGCTCATCGTGCCATCTAGCGAGACCATCGCCTGCACCGCCATGCCATCACCTCCATGCACCATCAGCTGCACCGAGAGAGCACTGGATGCCACGTCTGGCCAGGACGTCACGTTGGGTCTGGCTGGTCGTGAACAAGCCACGAATTTGAGCCAATGGATGCCTATAGGGTCTACCATGGTCTACGAGAATGAGACAAAGAATGATGGTCCAAATGAGACAAAGAACAGACCAGGTCTCGGCCAGGGATCACATTTGATGAGCGAACATGCAGGAAACCACAAGCATATCAAACAGTAGAATATTAACATTAATCATTCGGCAAGGCATGAAAAGACACTAGTTCATGATGACTGCAGCAAGTGATGACTGCGGCTGAATGCCAACAGCTAGCAGCCGCAGCTAACGCATGCTAACGCCATAAAGACGGCCATTACTTGCTGAAAAGCCTCTGCCGCTGCAAGATACAACGCTGCGCTGGGCCGAGGTGATCCAACTGCTGGGCACGCCAACCGAGACGACAATGGTAGCTGCCGTGTGTTGGGCGTGAAGAGGTAGCACATCGACTAGGAGAAAGGGAATCCAAATAGCATCCAAACTGTATATATTATATTAATCGATCCACACTAAGACTGTACTAAGACTCTATGTCTTTAATCTGAAATACAACAACTCAAGCTTGTGCCATACTACATTGGCGGGGGCAGTGCTGCCCAAAAGATGTCTCGCAGGCTGTTTCATCCAGTTCTTGCAAAACCGGCTGATTGCGCAGTTCTTACACACCGTCACGGCCCCCCGCGCACGACAGGATTAAGAGGCCCAGCAAAATCAGCAAGCTGCGGTTCTTTCTCGCATTTTGGATCGCAGTAGGCTGCAGCAGCATCCACTCTCAAAACAACTCACCTGGCGCTGTTGGAACCGAGACTGGCCATGGGCTTTCAATGAAGGCTAAATGGGAGGGTGTGTGGAGAAAGGGGGTCAGCAAAAATCGCTTGTACGAAGTTAGTGCATCAAAAATACCTTCCACGAAGTTCTGCGAAGGTTTCTAGGATTTCGTTGCGGTCAGTTCTGCTACTGGCCCACCATTCCACGAACTGTCCACGAATAGCCTTGGGTTCTACGAATGTCCCGCGCCTTCCACGATGTTAGTATATAGGTTATTGCAAAACCCTTTCTGTGCACTACCCTTCCGTTTGCCTCTGATTCAAGAATCCAATGATCCGAAGAAGCTTCGTCAAGACAAACGAGTGAGTGCGCCACAAGGTGCAAGGTCTCTTTTTACAATATGGGTGAGATGTTGGGAAAGCATCCAACGTGATGGCGCACTTTCACACATCACGCCGGAGCCGGCGTGACTGTGCCTCATGCATCCTCATGCCACGTCTTGTGGCAATCAGAAAACACGACTTTGTGTTTACATATCCTGACTACGTGCCTCGGCTTCTGCATTGATCCCAAATACTTGGAAAGCACATGAAAGCAATACAATCGCTTGACATTCACATCTGTTCACTGCTTCAATCATGGCTCATGGAGGCTGCTGGCTCGGAGTAATGCTCCTGCGAATCCGTCTCAAAGACATCCTCGTAGGTTGGCTCCGTCTCGCTCTCCGAACGGCGTCGCTTCAAATCCCCCAGCACCACCGGTGAACACATGAGCCGCTGGAGCTCGCAGCCGCCCAACTCCTCGTAGCGCAGCTGCAAGGGCGACGGCGGCCCTCGTGGGACGAATCTGACACCTGGTCCCAATGATGCAGGAGGTGCCACATCTAAGGTGACCTGAGAAACTAAGCAAGGTGCGCTCTCGCACTTCTGTGACAACCTGGAACGTCTCAGCAGAATTGGACCCACCGATTGGCCATCCAAAATCATTTCCGGTTCCTCGGCGTCCAAACAACAAAGGCGACCAACCACAGGTTTGGCTTCATCTGGGATCTGCTCCACGTTGGCGCAAACAAAGACCATGGCATCTTCCTCTTCTCCTTCCTCCTCCGGCTCAGGGCGCCACCAATAGATCCACAACAAGCAGGTGAGTTCCAAATCCATCTGCCGGGTCAGCTGGAAGTGAGCGACATATTCGTTGGTGCTCCCAGGAAGAAGACAAGGAGGAACACCTTCAATCCTCACCATGCAGGGACCCCGATAGGACAACCCACCCTCACCCATGGGTAGCTTCAATTCGCCATGATCACTGATGACTCCGACTTCCTTCCCATTCAAAGACACAGCGACCCCTGCAGCTCCAGCACTGCAACAAGGGGAGTGCACCCGAAGGAGTGGATCTTCAGCGGAGTCCGCGGATTCATCTTCCTGAGCCATCAAACACGCCAGCCACAGTGCAGGAACATCACCCGTGGCTAAGCAGGCCAAACGGAGAACGGAGCATTCGGTGTTTGCACAATGCAGAGCCACTTGCCAGGGCCCAATGCTGGCACAGGGTCTTGTGAGTGCCTGGGAAAAAAGGCAAGCAGTTCCTCCCTGTGACAGCCCCGAAACTCTTTCCTCCAGCTCCTTTTCGTCAGTCCGCATGTGGGACCAGTCATGTTGATTCAATGCGCCAGCTTGGACCTTGAGGGAAGATCCCAATTCTCCGTCCCAAAGCCACACCTCAGCATCCATGGGAGGCGCCCCACGGCTACATCGCCATTGCGCCAGATCTCCTCCCACCAACCACAGATCTGCACGCCCCGGTGCGCGAGTCCCAGGGGCCGCCGTGCACACAAAGCGAAGTCGATCCAAAGGAAACTCCACTGTGACACCGCAAGTAGTGGCATCAGCGATGTTCAAGGGAAGACAAAGACCAGGTGCAGATAACAAGTTATGTTCTACCAGCAGTGAATGTTCTCCCACCCGCACCCCACAGCTCACAGGTGCCACATCTGTGATGCCGAAATGTTCCCCATTCACGGAGATCCGCGCGTTGGGCACGGGGCACAAACAACAGCAGGTGACCAAGGAGACCTCCACGATGGGCGTTCCTAACCGTCCGATCTCCACCAAGCGCCCGGTCCCATGGACCTCGCCCTTCTTTAATGGAGAGGATCGCCAACCAGCACAGCTCACAAAGTCCGCATCCGCCAAGGGATCCGCATGGTCGGGACCTCGAACAAAGAGACATACCCTAGGGCTCCAAGTACCTGCTACCCATGAAACCTGCAAATTATGCTAGCAATCTGGAATTCAATTGAATTTGAGTATTCAATTGAATTCTAAGAAGGTGTTTGGGGTGGGTTTGGAGGGTCCAAGTACCTTCTGAGGAGGTACCTGGAGCCCTAGGGCTAGTAATAACATTAAAAAACAATGCGCTGGAATGCAGATTCCGCCAGCAAAGAAAAAGGGGGCATGGCCGGATAAGATATACAAAAGTACATCAAACAACAACAACAACAACAACAACAGCAGCAGCAGCAACAACAACAAGAAGAAGAAGAAGAACCACAACAAGAACAACAACAATAACAATAACAAGAACATGAACAACAACAAGGTACAAACACAAACTGCAGTCCCGTTACAAGATATCTTGTTCCTTTGTCTCTACAAGGGGGTGGAAACAAAATCTGCAGCCCCGTCGTTGATATTTTGACCACCCCCCCGAAAACAACCAGCCAACATGTACTTTTAACAGTAGTGGTAGTGCTTGTACTCGTGCTAGTACTAGTGGTACTAGTACTAGTAGTAGTCGTTGTTGTAGTGGTCGTAGGAGCAGTAGTAGTAGCAGTAGTGGAAGTAGTAGTAGTCTAGTATTACTAGTAGTAGTAGTAGTAGTAGTAGTAGTCGTGGTGGTAGTGGTGGTGGTAGTGGTAGTGGTAGTAGTAGTCGTCGTAGTGGTAGTGGTAGTGGTAGTGGTAGTGGTAGTGGTAGTGGTAGTGGTAGTGGTAGTGGTAGTAGTAGTAGTAGTAGTAGTAGCAGCAGCAGTAGTAGTGCCCGCACCTCAAGAGATGTTGTTGTCTCTACCCCCCCTAGAAACAAAACCTGCAGCCCCGTTGTTGTTTTTTGACCCCCCCCCCAGAACAACACCCCTAAAAACATAAAAACACAAGAAACAGACCAACCAAGACTTGAGTACCACAACGACAAGAAGTCCCGCTACTAACATCTCTCCAAACCTTCGACCCTATCCCTAACAGTGTCCAATTGAAATCCCTGACTTGCAACATGTGACAACTATGTTGGGCAGCTGTTTTTGTCTCCAACAACAACGACGACGACGACGACGACGACCACAACAACAACAACAACAACAACAACAGGAGCAACAGCAGCAACAGCAGCAACAGCAACAACAGCAGCAGCAGCAACAACAGCAACAACAACAACAACAACCACAACGACAAGGACAACAAAGACAACAAAGACAACAACAACAACAACAGCAACAACAGCTTGGTACCCAAACTTTGGAGATAAATCGAGTTGAATCAGTTGGTTGTGCTGCCAGAGATATTTATGAGATCAGTAACTGGCTTAAACTGAGATACGATATGCAATTTCAGCTAACACGGACATGGACGAGTTTTTTGTTTAATTGACTAAATGGGCAAGAAACAGCAAATGCTCGATGAGTGTGATAGACGCTTGCAAGAAGGGCCGCATTCACATCCTATCAATGCTGCACAGCACATGCATGTCTACAAGCTATGCCCTATACCACGCCTGATGCCTGTGACTTGCTCGACCACTTCTTTTGTCTATTTTGCAAGTGTAAGTTCAGCTATTGTTTTCTTGGTACCAGTAGATTCTCAAAAGATTCTCCTTCATCTCAGCACCGACGCCGAGTCACCCCAAGCAGCAAACAGTGTATTTTCTCCCCTCAAACATGGTAAATGTGGCTACTGCAGGAGATGGGGGTGTTTTAGTCATCAAATTTCATGAGTCAACCTCAACCTCCGAAAAAAAAAAAGCAACTCGGCTTGGCACTTCGGATGAAGCCATCCAAGTCAGCTCTCACAGCTTCTCCACTGCTGTATTCCAGGCTCCCTTGGAAGGGCACCAAGTTGGGGATGGGCAACACCGCCTCCTCCAAATCCATGCGCGGGTCGCGGCCAAAGACCACCAACTCCTTGGCGGTTTCCAGTTGCCAGAGTTGCACAGAGGTCTCCTCGAAGGTGGCAAAAAAAAGGTGGAAACTGCCCCAGTTTTCTTTCTTTTGACAAGCATCACTTATATAGTTTTTGCGGAGATTCCACGGAAAAGAAATGGACAAGGGATGACAAAGGGAATCCCCACATAGCAAAGGAAGACTCAACAAAATGCAAATAGAATGTGTTGAATGGCTTTAAGATGTTATTAATGCAAAGCTAGGTCTCCGTCGTGAAGGTCAAGTGAGTCTCCGGAGCAAGTATTTGAAGCGTCTTGCTTTGAGGCTCCATGAACTTGCCACGCTCGGCCCTGAGCTCAATCGGAGCATACAACGGCACAGAGAGCTTCACAGAGCCTGCTTGATCACTGAGACTCTTACTCACTTGCTTCCCATCTGAGAGGACGGTGACTGAAACAAATGGCAGTGGAAACTCCAGAGCATTCTGCACGGTGACCTGTACTGGAACCTCTGGCATGCATATGGCCATGCGTTTCATCACGGCATCCATTGAAGGCCAAGCTCTACTTTTCAACTTCGATGAGATGCATAGGCCCAGGCATCCGTCGCCTTGGCGATTCAAAGGAGTGGCACCCCATGGCTTCAAGGGATCATCGCAGCACAAGTAAACCTCAAAGGAGCCAATACGAAAACTTGGGCCCTTTGCTTGCCTCTCTTCCGGGATGGGCCCTAGTGGCACCAACAACTCCACCCGAACGCCCTGTGGAAAGCGTTCGAGGACCAAGATCTTGAGCTTCTCAAAGCGATTCTGGTATTGCGTCTCATCGTGACGTAGAGTTGAATCATGTGTTGCGCAATCTCTGCAAGACTCGACGATGACCCACACATAGGTTCTACAAGTCGTCGTGGACTTCGAACACTCGGGCTGCTCCCCACACTCGAGCTGCTCTTGCTCGAGCTCCTGAAGCTGTCGGATTCGTTCGGCGAGCCCATGAAGCATGTCCATATGGATCCCTCCATCTGTGTGCTCTGCATCCGGTGAAAGCCAGGGAGGCCAAATGGGTCGCCGGGAGATCTGCACATCCGGAGGAGGAGGCGGAGGCGGAGGCGGAGGTGCTGGAAGTACTGGTGGAGTCTTTGCTTCCACTTTTGGAGGTCTCTGATTGGATCCTCTCGGATTTGGTCCCCTCTGAGGTCCTCTTTGAGGTCTTCTCAAACCATTCCGACCATTTTGCCTGGCAGGTGACCTGTGGTTCTTGTGAGCACTTCTCATTGGAGGCTCGACCTGTGCGACTCGACCGACTGGGGGCCGACCTGTGGTTCGTGCAGACCATGGCATGGGTTCTGAAGCCAATAGAGCCCGAACCTCTGCCATCTTATCTGCATATAGAGGCACAGGTGGCGCCTGAGCAGTGTATTGATACTGAAACCAGGCCTCCACTTGAGATGCCCCCATTGGACCCTCTGAATGTGGTCGTGGTCCGCACGTCGCACCATTGCCAGAACGGCCCACCCGACCGCCCGCAGGGGCGGTGCTGGGAGGAGCTGTCGGGTCCCATGTACCATCCTCCATGGCAAAACCAAAGTTGGGCTGGTTGAATTCTCAGATTTCTCAGTGGTTTCTCCACTGTTTGCTGTGTATATATATATATATTACTATATTATACTTAATTTATTGAAACATCAGATGTTCAGATCGTGAAGATGGCTTAGTGGCTTAGTCACTTGTCCTTGAAATGGTCTAAGAGTCTTGCTACACTGCAGAGAAGAATCTGGACAGGAAATCTCCCTTCAGAAGGCGCGGGTGATTTGCCCAAGGTGCTTGACATACCGCGGTAAACAACGCTTTGCCTCGAGGCCGCCGCCCAGGCGCTGGAATTCCGCTGCACAACAACTCCCTGACTCGCCATGTCCTGGCACTGCGACCCACTCGGCAAATGAGTTAGATCCCCATCTGAAAAGGGCTCAGTTTGGAAGACCAGGGCTCAGTGAAGGTGTTGGGGGGTCTATCCCGGATCCCTGAAATTCGTGGTCACATCGACCCGATTTCGCCCTCGAAACGGCAGAGTCGAACTAGTTCTTCTCCAAGGTTCTTCTTTTACTCCTAGAACTGTGTGATCCGATCCGACTCTGGATCTATCGATGCCATCGACCGGATCCATCGACGCAGCTCGTTCCACGTCGAAACGGCGGTTTTGGCACCCGGTTTCGGTGCCTTCGCCGGGGTTTTGGCGGTCGTCCGGGCTCCGCGGCACCCGACCTGGCAGGTCGGTGTCGGTGAGTTGGGAGTTGGAGGAGTCGTTCCATGGGTTTTTTTCAATCAGTTGATTAGATTAGAACAGAACATGCTAACATGCTGACATCTCTGGGATGTGTTCAATGACGAAAATAATATAATGAAGAACATGACTTCCCGTGGCTGTTCCAGCTCACTTGCGAACAGCGGGTCGATTGAAGAATCATCGATTCCAACAGCCTGGCAAATGAGAATGGTGCGCTCGATCAACCAGCCAGGAGACAAGGCGAAACTTTCGCAGACTCCATTGCTTCCAAAACGGCTGCGGGAAATGGATGGAAATGGAGTTTCAAAATTATATATCCAGCAGGAGTCGGCTTACTTGATTCAATGATCTTCAAAGCTGTCATGTAACGATACAGCCACATGCTGGCTGTCGACACGCAACGCTCTCGTGGCTCTCGTCTTTTGTCCAGCCAGCTTCAACGCATCTTAAATCTTCAGCTGCCGGGACTGATTTCAACAGATCTCGGAAATCTTAACCCTGATGGAATGACAACTACAACCTGTGCACTGTTTTATATAGGGGCAAAACTACCCCCGTTCCAAGTGGGTCTTCAGTGGTTTTCATGCGTCATGGGAACACGGCAACATTGGCAAACTCCGGTTTCAAATGCGACCATGGCACTCATGTCCACTCTCCACAGGCCGAAGTCTCTTCATGGAATGGCAGTCATTCAACAATTACAACCATGGCAACCATCTGAGCATAGAGCATGTCGACTGATAGACTATCACTTCATACTAGAAGGAAGATGAGGGAAGCAAGAAACCATGAAAACTGTAGATCGAACTGTCTAAGAAAACAACTCTGCTCTCACCCCTGCTCTTCACCTCATCGCCGCGTGGGTGAACGACGCCGAGAGAGGAGAGCTCCTGATGATCACCACACTCATCCTTTGCTCACTGAGATCTCCCTACATCGCATGCCCAACCACACTATCGGCAAGTGGACCTTGGGATACCTTGGGTTGGTTTCAAAGATCAATCTGAGGCATACATTGCATACTCCAGGAGTATCTGGGATGATCGGACGTTAAACCCTTTGACTCTCGAGATCACCTGAGATCTTCAGAGTCCACTGTGAGTTCCACTCAGCGATACGTCATCATCGAAGACGTCGGCATCTCGTGGGGACGATGCATCTCATCTGCAGCTGCTCATTACAGCTTGCCCAAGAAGGCATGTGAGGGATGGGCGGTCCATGATGGAGGAATGTGGAGGGAACACCGGCCATCGAATGCCACATCAATGCATCAGTGACATTGACTTGAACAGTCGGCGAGTCCGCGGTTTTGTCTGCAGCGGTGACGGTGATGTTCGTTTGGGCAGGGAAAAAGCTGTGAAGAGCTGCTGCTGCAGACGAAACGATCGGCACGGTGTGCCGAAATTCGCAGCGCTGAGTTGTCTAATCCTCCCTCAGGGAGTGAAAGTACGGGGTCTGTCCCCTGTGGGTGACCTTCAAAAAAGGGCTTTGGAGAAGCAGTTTGGACAAAACAACTTCCAGCAGTCAAACATAGTACGTGCGACTGTCCTGGCTGGACTACCCTACCGATCTCTATTGGATACTCAGACAGGATGGCCCAGGTAAGTGTTACTTGTTGGGTTCACCAAGGCTTCACCAAGGTTGCTGTCGTTTGGATGTGGAGAAACCAGTCGAAGACACGTTTGGGTGAGGGATGTCAATGGATGTCACACTTCTCGTGTTTTTGATGGGCTTGGACTTTCAACACTTGACAAGTACACCAGCTTTAAGCAGTTGCCATGGAGTTTTGCCTCCACATGACTGCAGCCAGCCAGGTTGCACCTACTTCAAAGAAACCGAATAGGCCGTACATGTCCATCTTCATCTGATCTAGATCCATCCGACACCCTCGTTCAGCACTAGTCAACACTAAGGCAGCCACCACATCTGGTGAGACCAGTGATGGTCCGATTTCGATGCAAAGGACTTGCTGATATCTGCCCAAGGTGTACGTCTTTCATTGTGTACGATATCTGAAGGACTCCACCAGAAAACGAAACGATATTGAACGGTTGAATCTCAAGAACTTTGGCAAATCCCGATATTTCATTTGATATTTCATTGCTCATACAAAGCATACGAAGATTGAATCTCTTCTGTTTGAATCTCAAGCTTTTTTCGATCCACCTCTCAACCGCCACCCGGTCCGGTTGCCCTTGGGTCAAGAATCTCATCCAGGGTTTACGGATTGAAACTGTGTAGAGTAGTTGTAAAACCAGGTGTCAGGTGTCTGCATAAACAATCTTAGAATAATTTACATCAAGGGAGGCCAATGACAACATCCAGCGCCAGAACTGTTCTACGATCTCTTGGGCGGTTTGATCCGAGCAGATCCACTGTGAAGGACTTTGGTTCGTTCGTTTCCGGGAATTCGTCCCCCCGTTGAGAGAAATGAACGACTGGACGACCAACCATCCGACTGGACGAGATCTCGGTCCGACGAACTCGACCGTCCGAACGACCGTTCGTTCACCGAGAACGACCGTTCGCGGAAAGTGGAGTCGACCAACGAAGAAAGAATTGCGGAGATTGACCTGAAACGGAAACGTCAATATCGACTCTAAGTCTAAGACTATTGCATTCAGGATCAGCGGGATGGATTGGACACTCAGAGATTCCTGCGAGGGTGACTCACTTCAGGTATATATCATCCCAGACCAATCTCGGTAATTATAGGCCTTTTAGTTGTGTTTTGATGTGTTTCTGGCTACTTCTGGACCCTTGCACGGGAAGACACCCGGAGTGGGGCTCAGCAGCCAGCATGGATCTTCGGATCAAGCGCTGTTGCAACCTCGTGCGGCACATACAAAGGAGCCATGCAACAACTGGGAACGTCCTTCCATTCCTCTGTCATGTTCACTCATCCCCCTGCCCAAAAAGAAAGGGCCGCCCCCGTGGCTCCACGTGAGAAAAAGGGTGCTCCCATCGACTCAATCCACACAGCTTGCGATTTCAAAAAGCTCCTTGTTGAGCACATGTGGGTGGAGTCTCTGGGGCTGGGTCAAAGCAGCCTGGCACCGTTTTTTGATGAGAATGAATTAAGCTGCTGCAGCCTTCCACAGCTGTTACCATTCGATCATTCTGATCCTGACCCAGCATCCTCTTGAAATGCCTTGAAAAGTCAGTGAAATCCTTAGGATCAATCTTTCTCCTGGATGTGCTTCGACTCTACTGCAAACCAAAGACATTGGAGCGTACCAAGACTCTGGGCTTTTCTTAAGTGGAGAGACCCCAAACAGAGAAGCCACTCTCCTGTGGGTCAACACCCTTCTACGGATCCTCTTCGCATGCTAAGCCGGTGCCTAAACAAGCAAATTATCCCAAACAATGTCACGCTGTGAGTAGTTCGTTCAATCTCTGGATGACCTGCAACCAGCAGCTCTTGGTTTAGCGCAGCTCAAGGACAGGCACAAAACCCGTCAAATGCGTCGAGATCGGGTCCGGATTGGTTCCAGCTTCACGTTTCGCTTCACTTCTTCACTAGTGGGGCCCATCTGGACCAATCCAATTCCCAGAAAACGTGGCTCAGCTTTCCGGCATGGGTGACCTCTACAAATCAACCTACAGTACTTCCTTGGGCATACTTTGGTCCAGCTTGGTGTCATGTGAGGATCCTTTGTAAATGCATTGAAAACCCCAAAACCATCCAAAACCTTGCAATTGTTGGAGGTCACCAACCTTATTGGGCCTTCATGTGGCCAGGAAGTTCACCTCCTGGACAAAATGAACTGGGATGTCTTGGGGGTCTAGAGTGGCCATGTGATGTCAAAATCGATTCATGTCTCACTCCACTGCTTAGTCATGCAGGTGCTGCTGTATAATAGCAATATATCATATATCCGTGGTCCAGCATGTGGGCATGAGTGTGGTTGAGGGGGAATGTCCTGCGTGTGCCACCATTATATAGGCGAACACTATATAAATTAAAATCGTACACTTCAAGCCATGATCCCATCATGTAGGCTCAACAGCAATGTTCATCAGGACATTGACATTGCTTGAGTCGCACTCTCACGTGTCAACGATATGTGCATCTGGAAGGTCGAATGTTTACAAGGTTATTGCAGTGCGGAGCTTTCTTGACTTGGTCAGAAGACACATCCAGAGTTCTTCAAAAAACTTTGCCTCACAGACCTAGATCCGTGTTCTCACAGAGTCAGAGTCGGCATCTGAGAGGGCCTGAAGACATGGCTCGGTGTTTGATGGTGACAAAGACTTGGAGAATCAAGAGAATAGGCTAGCATGAGGCTGTATATCTAATATGGATGCAGTATGGGGGTGATTTTGCTTTGACCAACAAATGTCCATGAGTTTCGACCGAACAAACGTTTAATATAGTTCTTGCATGTTCTTGCTTCGTTTTCTATGAACAACCCAAAACGGATGTTTCTCTGTCGCGTGCATTACAAAAGCGATCAACAGTATCTGTGAACATTGTACTGTTTCGTAAGGTTTATCTATGATTGTGCAATAGATTTATAATGATGTGTATCTAGTTGGATACACCTATTCCCTGTACCAACATGTACCAATCATGCACATATAATGCCATATCGAACATTTTCAGGATCACTTTTCATTCAATCAACCTATAGCTTCTGCGTTGTGTGCCAGGCCCCCCCAAAAAACATCGGATACCCAGGCGATGTTCGACGTTCGATCGCCAACGGCACGACGAGCCCTTCGATGTCGGTTGGGACCGGGTCGACCGAGTCGGACCGAGTGACAGTGCCGACTCTCGGGCAGTGTCAGACGTGGACCATCAAGACATGCCAAGACATGCCGTTCACCAAACCGGAAGTTCTTTGCACTACCGTCATATGAGCCAAAGAAATCGAATGTTCGCCCCCTGCTGCAGGACTTCGCCCACCCGCGCCATCGGATTCAGCGAGAAGACATATTTTGGGGAGCCGAATCCTCTCCACAAATGGGTGATTTTTGCGACCCACAAATGTCCATGAGTTTCGACCGAACTAACTGACTTTAGTTCTTGCTTCATTTTCTATTCGCATTTCCTGTGGGTCGTCCTACTTCATCGAACAAGAACTCTGGACCTGTCGAGGGAGTGACCTTCGCCACCTTCGTCACGGTGACCGACCCGAAGCCACGGTCTTCACCTCGAAGAAGTGTGGAGCTCAGAAGTATTCAGAGACGTAGTCTTCCTCCAGCGGAAGCTCCTGAACTTCCTCGAACCCGGAAGAAGCGCTGAAAGAAGGCACGATCTGTACTCACATGCGAAAAAACCGGCTATAGGGCACATGATAGGGTTCATGACGACGTCCGTAGAATCATCGAAATACCGGACATACCCGTCTTCCCTTCTTGAGAATAGCGCTCAGCATGTTCGATTCCAACGGGCCTTTGAAACAGCCCGATACATAGAAACTCAAGCAACAGATCCGGAGTGAGATCAACAAATCCGGACTTCTGGAGATCCCAAACCTCCCTGTCTGTGGAGATCACATGGTGGATCCACAGAGTGAAAAACATGGACAAAAACTGGAGATCGCCCAAGTCCGCCCAAGTCGTCCGTTCTCCACCCGCTTACTCCCGCTACACGTGACGGACGCGTCCAACGACGTTCGCGACGCAGACTGGGTCCTTGCATCCCAAGACGTTGACCTCACGCCCCTCTGTTCGACGAGAGCGGTCTCGGTCTCCTCCAAACCCAAAGCGAGACTCAGGCATTCAGGCGGCATGAAGAAGTGAAGAAGTGAAGGGATGAGAAGGGCGACCAAAGTGGTGTCGATGTTGACAGTTCTGAAGGGAATGTCCGCTATATAACTAGTAGAAATGGCAATTCTACGGTACATCATTGTAAACTCTCTTTTTGGGGACCGTATAATAGAGTCTTAGAGAGAACAACTTCTTCGATCCTTTGTTTTCTCAGAGCTATAAGGGGTGAAGTTGTGTGCGAAACAGCAGTGGAATGCAACCCCGCCAGGAACAAATCACATGGATTCAAGATGATTCAAGCTTACTCCAAACACTCCATGTATGCCATATATGCCGATCAGTTGGGGTGGTTTTGGGGGTCAATGTAGGCATATGTGGCATACATGGAGTGTCTGGGTACAAGTTTGACAAAGAAGTAACATCAAACGGTTCAAGGCCATGGGACATGGGACATGGCAGCCTGGGGAGTTGACTCCTGGGTTTTGACCACTCTGAGGACCTGCAACACCGGCGGTAGCTTCAGAGATCGACATTCTGATTGATGCCCAGGAAAACGAAAGACAAACAACAAATCACCCTGGAACACCAATCATGACACACCACCAAAATGACCTGAACACACCACCAAACAACAAATCATGACACAATCCGTTCTACTCTCGAGATCGAAGATGACAATTCTTGCTTGCTGTGGATCTCCCATCCAGTGTTGCACGCAAAGAAACACCCTCGACAGAACCGGTCAACATTGCGACACTGGCACTGCCTGAGGCTTTTTGCTCGAAGATCTCGAAGGTTGGAAGGCAGAAAAAGGCCAGTGTGATGGCCCAATAGGTGAAATAGATCATAAGCTTCAGGATCTGTTCACCTCCCGCATGGCATGAAGGGGAAAGCCGACTGCCGTCTGAATAAACCACCATGGAACCATGACGACTCTGGTCAAGGAGGTCGACAGTCACACATGGTTCCCAGTCGCATACGGTCGCATCCGCCAACACGCACCAACATGCCAAACCTCAAGGACCTCCTCATCTTTCCACCTAGGCCTACCGCCTGGCCTTCCCGAGTCCAAAAAAGAAACACTGTGCCTTCAATGCCTTCCAGCAAATCCGCCACCAAAGGCTCCCAAAGGCCGTAGCTCAAGGCGCCCCAAATCACCGGGCTCAGAAACACCGACAGCAACGCCTCGTGACGTTTGTGTTGGAAGGATTTCAAGAATGATTTGGCACACGCAAGGAGTTGTAAATCAGTAAAGCACAATATAGCAGAATAATTGGCTTTTGCAATGTTTGGAACACTCGATTTGCACTTCTGTGCTTGGCGTTATGATGAAGTCGTACATCCTGGACCAACTGAGGTGTCTCTCTGTGTGTCAGGTGCTATGATCTACACCATCTGCACGCACATCATCCAAGTCTATTTCTGGTAGAGACTACGCTACCCTGCCCCCACTCAAAAAAAAAGGAGATACTACACACCCCTCTGGTGAAGGACAGCTATGACTCTGACTAAAACATACTAAAACCTATTCTTCTTGAAGCCACATTCAAATCGATGTTGGTCCTGACCCATTGCTTGAAACATCTTGAAACAGTGCTTGACCAGTCAGCAACTGCTGCAGTCAGTTTCTTCGCTCAAATGAGTTCTCCAAGCTGCGCGTCTGAGAGGTGTGAGCTGTAAAGGGCAAAAAGCATCCACCAAACGGCAGGATTGAACCATTAACAGCAGGCTTACCTGAGCGGGACTGATACAAGCTGCACGCATAGGCAGCTGGTGACTGTCTACTGTTAGAGATATCTCCGGAGATTGTAGACTATATATATTATGTTAAATTACATTATGTTAAATTTATTATTACTATACTATATGGGAGTTGATCTAAATTCCTTCATCCGGGATCCGTCATTTTCGC